GATCACCGGAATCATAGTTTTATTAGTCTGAGCTTTCGAACTCCTATAGGAGAACATCGTCAGAGATAGGAAACAGCAACAAATGGGGGCTAGTTATGGCGTGAGTACAAAACAAAAGTTTGAACGAGGACCAAAACAGAAACAACCCCTACGATTTGGCATGCGTTGCCATATATCAAGGCCGTATCGGAAGCGACCGAACGCATTGCCGCGGGACTAAGCGTCGGAATTGAACACAATCTCAAGACTACAATGCGCAGCCGTGTCATGAGAATCAAGGATCGATTTAATACCAATGAGCAGTTGGACGTAGTGTATCGCATACCATGTCTAAATTGTCCCATAAATTACACGGGACAGACTGGACGCAAGCTAGGTTCGCGCATACACGAAGATACTCTGACCGTTTGGGGGGGTGACACATTATTGCAAGTAGCGAGCCACATATATGAGACGGGTCACGAGTTCAACTTCGGAGCCGCGAGGATAATTGCCCATGCTGGCAGAAAGACGGGCCGAGAAGTGATTGAAGCCTGGGCGTCGGATGACAACTCAGTTAACCGATGTATCGAGCTGGCGCCCGCATATGTTGCCCTGCGCAGCTATCTCCAGACTCACGGCACTGGTGGTTAATTGGTCCTCTCCCCCTCCTCCCTCCTCCTCTATGACGTTTAATTGACCCTTCCCCTATAAATGTTGCTTGTTTTCGTTGACGATTTTATTCCTGTCAATATTCTCACCCAATACACCGATCTCGCCTACTTGCACAGGCTGAGATAATCCGCGGTGGCCATTTATTGATTTGATTATTTATTTTCTACACTTAAAAACTTTTGTTCTGTACAAACGCCATAACTAGCCCCCATTTGTTGCTGTTTCTTATCTCTAACGATGGACTCCTGTAGGAGTTCGAAAGCTCAGACTAATAAAACTATAATTCCGGCGATTGACACAGCTTCTTCTTCTCAATCTATACAGAAAAGTGAGCTCTTTCATTTTCAGCCGAAAATTTATCCTTAATTCTCAACGAAGTCAAAACAGTGGTCAAACTTTTTCATTTTATCTTGATGTTTTCTTCAAAAAGGCCAATTACGCAGATATTCGATGCTGAAATATATATTACTTAAATGATTTTTTTTCAAGACGTGCACATTTTAATGAATATTGGACATATCGATTTTTGACTTTTTTGTGGACGTTTCTTTTTCTCGGCAATGATTTGACAAATTTGGTTGATTTTAAAACAGCCAACCCAAGAAAACAGCTACATAAGATACTGTGTCCAGAAACTCCCTATTTCGATAAATGCTTTTAGGAAATATCCTATTTTGAAAATTTTAGTAAACAATTAAAACATACTCCTTATTTATGGGCCATCGAATGAAAGCACTCACAATTGTAACTTGCTCATCACTGCTTCAAGAACGATCTGAAAATCATCGTAGTCGAAATCCCGAGATAATAACAAGGAAATTTGACGAAGGGAAATTTATCTCAAGGTACACAAAATGATACGTCTACGATCGTACATGACAACTCCAAGCGAAAATCTGGTTGCCTTAGTCCGACTTATCTCAAAAAATAAATAAGGGAAGAAACAACTAGCAATCCTCTTGAAACCATGTTGGAATACATATTCGAACGTCGGGCTGTTTGGTAGTAGCCGTGCAAGACATATGGAAAAATATGCATCCATAAATTTTACAAAAGATTATTGTTAGAACTAAATTTCCTTGTGCTACTTTATTCACTCGTGGTTTGCAGGAACAAACTTTGTGTATATTTAAATCTTAAGTTTACTTAGAAATCCCGACTTTTTCGGAATTTCTGGCTATTCTAAAAAAGCTGATTATTCCAAACAATGTGATATTACTTGATAATTCGCAATGGGCTTTCTTTTTTTAATAAGGATGACTTCTTTACTGCTGTAGGACTTTGGGGGACGTCGCTTGGGTTTCTTTTGCGTAACATGAATTTTATTGTTAAAATCTTTAGATTTCATAAGATAGGCAATCGACTGCATATACACGCTTTATTTTGAAAATATCATTCCAAAATTTCTGGAAAAGGTCCTACATTCAACGTGGACAAAAGTGGATTTGCAAAATAAATAACACCGAAAGAGCCCAGAAGATATATTGTGCCCCAAAACTTCAACTGTTGATATTACAAACAGCCGTTGGTTAATTTGTCGCAAAACTGATGATACATTTTATCTTCTTTAAAACGGCGTGCTAGCGTAATATACAGATGACTTTATTATCGTATTAAAATAAGCCAAGAGGAGGTAAAACGCAGTATATATTCATAAAAAATAAGCCAGCCAGTTTGCATATAAGAAAATTCCTATGCGAATCCAGACCAGAAGAAAAATGGCAACTGGAGTTTAAGGCTCCCTCCGCGCAAACTCATTGCCAAAGAGTGGAAAGTTTCTAATATTCCCGTCTATTACCATCATCCCTGCAGGCAGCCGCATGGAAATTCGAATCAGATAATGACTCGACCGCACCCACTCAGTGCCAATTAGGAAACTTATACCCAACGATGATTATCATCAGCATGAGGTCGAAATTTCAGATGTAGAAGAACTGCATTTACCTATCTTACGAGATATATGATTGCGCATGAAGGCTTAATTCGTAGAAACTAGCGACCAATCATGACGGATTTGTTTAAGAGGGAAGGCAAGAAATAAATATTAAAGTCTTAGTGTCCATCACACATTAGTCAATCTAACCTCCAACGGACACACCGGTAGTACCTATATAAAAGTCGAGGTTTTCTGAAAAGTAGGAATAAATAGAAGGTTTCTCATTCAGGAACTATTTGCCGTTGCTTAGCTCAAAAAAAAGATGAAGTGACAGCGGTAAGAATCCTTATGTTGATGAAAGCCCCCATCCACTCCACCTCTGTCAACGGGGCATCAGTCGGCTAAGTGGAATAAAAACCTATAGGTGGTCGTCTGAGCTGTCGTCAGAAGCTGTATAATGCATTCAGTGATATCTAGAAGGTCCAAATCCTTCTTGTTCACGCCATTCCTAGGGAGCTGTCAGGATGCAAGTGAGACCAGTTAGAATAAAAGTCTACTGAAGCAAGCTTTGGCGTTCGTTCTGCTACCAGGAGTCCAGTCTTCTTTTATGGCTAACAAAAGTTTTCTCTAGAGATTTTGCAGGGAAACCAACACAAGAAAGACCAAGTTCTTTTCCCAGTGAGTCATTGAAGACTAAAACAAACTACTTTCTTCAGTTGTTCTTGCTGAAAGCCTTGAGGCATTTCAAAGAAGACTTGATCAACCTTTACTTGATGATGGTATATTTGGTAGACATCAACGGTTAATATAATGCACATACATTGCTCTGAAACATATGCATAATTTGCTAGGATCTATCTGTTAATAAGATTTTCAAAGGCCCCACCTATCTCCCTTGTATATACTTAATACTGAATTAGGGGGGGCATGATTGCTCACCTGTTTTTGAAAGACTACTATGAGTGTAAAGAATTTTAGTTGACCCATTTGGAAAGAGTTTCAATGCAAATGAACATATATTTCCCAGGTAGAGGACGTCAAAGTTTACACAAAAAAATATACAACCAGTCAGAACCAAGCATTGGATTCAAGTCGCTCAAGACGTGACAATTCGGCTCCAGTATATTCACCTCTACTTTTCTTCTTTTTTTCAGCATCCGGTAACGCGTTTTGACTGGCGACTGGAAATGTGACATTTCACCCATCAAATCACACAAAAGCAGAAACACGGGAGAAAACTTAATTGCACATGACATTTTCATTCTGCTAAATGTTTACAGGGCGCATGCAGAGGCATACCCTTTTAGCTCCTTCACTCGAGCCAATACCGGAATGCCTTCGTAATTATGTGCTTCAATTAGCGACAATTATCGCAAAGCGGACAATCTTTAAAACTAAAGTCTGCCGCATTTCACGCTGCAGGCTACGTTGGTAATTTAGGTTGTATCTCGAATTTGCTACAGGCTGTTTGCCGCCATAAAAAAATCGATTAAAATCGTCATGTGCGCGTTCTCATGTTATTGATCGAATTATTCAGCTAACGTCCACTCACATGAAAAAGGTTGCTCAATGTTCTTTTAAGAATAGTTCAGCAGTCACCCAGGGACTTTAAAGTACTCACACAATTATTCTCGAAAAAAATAGCTTTTCTGTGAGCACATCGTTAACTGTGAACAAAGCATTAGTTTCCCGTTGTGTGGGCTGACGCAAAATAAAAACATATTATCGGCTCTCACTAAAAAGCACAGTTTTTCAAAATGTAATTCGAAGCCGGCTTGGCAATGTTTGAGTCGTGCGTTGCTGTCACGTATTTCTTTGCGCGAATATATTGTCAAATGCGAAGTTATCAGGAACAACTAACGAATATAAATAAGTCTAATTAATGGAGGTATGAGAAGTCATATTGGCAAACACATGTTTTCAGCAATTCGTCATCAGGCCAATATAATTGCGGAGATTAAAACGGTCAGTTATCTGTAGTGTTTAAATGATCCTCGGAGTAGGGTGGGGACTGGTAATAGTCATCGCGGTGTTTCCTCGTCTCATGAATGCTGGCGCTAGCGTGTTGAGGACGTTGGGTCTGGCGAACAGGGAAAAGGGAGAGGGATGTTCTCACGGTCGGCGTGCGTTCGACAAACTGACCGTTTTAATACGTGCAATTGTATTGGCCTGATGACAGATTGCTGAAAACATGTGTTTTCCAATATGACTTCTCAATCTTAAAATGGGAGTACTTGCAAAGTAATGGACTTTTGCTATTTGCGCCTTAAATCGCCGTAGATGTAATTTGATTAAGCATAGACGATAGTCCCACTGATTCAATACCACCTGAATCTCAGTAAAGGCCCCTCCGGAATTAGCAAGATAATACTTTTGAAGTGACAGTACTCAAAAAATATGAGGGAGACTGGATTGGCCACTTCCGGCTTATAAGCCGTCCTCAGCCAGCCATACTGTTGACTAACAGCAAGAACCTCATCCGGAACCGCACATGGTGTGGGGAGTTTTGAGAAAGCAATCTGTCCCCCCCCACAAGGTCAGCTAGGACCAGAGATCGTATTTTGAACTGTAAGGAACTACCAGGCAGAACCTGGTGAAGAATGCACAGGTCCGCCTGGCAGTAAGGCAAATTTAGCCATGTTTCTTTCGACCATTAAAAAACAAATGGGACCATCATCGAGGTCGGGAAGCGAAACAATGCACACTAACACTTTAAAAGCATTTTTGTCAATTGAAAGTTGAGGAGGTTTCTCAGACTAACGTATGGGAAAAGTTTTTACAAATAAGCCAATTCTTTTCGCTGAAATTTCGACAAATTTCATTGGCTAAAAAGCCGAAAGACTGAAAAACATCAGCGCTTCGGAAACTGACATCAATAATTCTAAAAATAGCTCAAAAGAATATCAAATGGTCGAAATTATTGGTACGGCTAAAGCGCGGTCATTTCTGGGTGATCAATTTAAATGCCCGACAGTGAGAACAGATTTACAGATAAATGAATCAGTGTTACAAGAATGGAGGCACAAAATATACAAATGTTTGCCTCTACGTATTATGAGTATTTAAACGTCATTACAAAACAGATAAGCAGAGTGAGCCCCAA